ATAGACAACCACTTTTTAAATGGTCCAAGTAATCTTCGATGTTCCTTCTGAATTTCTTCACAAAAATAATATAAAAATAAACATATGGTAAAACCATTTTCGACATACATTCGAAGTGAAACAAATGCATGGTAATGTAAATTTCTGCGGGGAGTGAGTTGGTATCTACAGTGTCAAGCTTCATCTATGAAAAGGTACCACACTATGGTATCGATTAGCATGTTTTATACACTAGTGAATTAGGACTATATTTTTGTAGTGGTAGATACACTACATTACTCCCCCACCAGAATTATATCTGTTATAGAGTTCAATGAACGGATAGCACTAGTTGATTGATTACTGTTTTTTGTGAGATGCCGGGTGAACTGTATTAAGATCACCGTACTTTTTTGATGATTGTAAGTGTTGTATTATGTTCACGGTCGTGGTTGCTCCCTGTGTTGCCATTAGCAGTCGAATGTATGCAAACTAACATTGTGTGAGATTGATACGAGACTGAGTAGCACCAGTGCGTGGAAGTGACTAATGTAGCAATGTGGAATATCTATCGAGGTAGGCGTGTTCAAATCGTAGTGGGCGTTTCTTCCAAGGTAGGCGTGTTCACATCGCGACCGCAGGTCACCAATGTTGAGAAAGTAGTTATCGATAATGTCAATCTTCTTCTATGAAAAGGTACCCCACCATAGATTCATCATCATCATCATCAATATTTATCTGAGCGCCTGGAGCCGTTAGCCGCCTTTTTCCCATTCGTCTTGAATTGTGATCTTTAGGGTGGTTCATTCTGGTAATTACCATAGATTCGAGTTAACATGCCTTATCTACTACTGAATTGTGATTGTATTTTTGTAGTGGTAGATACACACATGTCTGTCTCATGGTTTTGGGAAGATTATTTATGTATTTAACGTATATTGCGCAGAAAATATCGTAAACTCAAAAGAAACAACCATTTTTCCATTCATTAGCACTTGTTAGAAAGAAAATGTCAGAATATTTATCAAAATTCTTCACGAAATCGTACGTTTCTTCTAACCACAGCAAAAGGCAGAATGACAAGCTCAAACCGCCCTAGCAGCAAAATGACTTGGGCACTCATCGGGCCAATATTCACTAATCTTAGTTCACTAATGTTTCAAATTGCTGCTATTTTTCGATATCAGTCTATATATTTGGAAAAGACCAATATTTCCTATAGTCACATTGGTCTATATATCCTATTTAGATTTGTCCGATTCTCCCTACATTTTACAGTCACTTTACAACCAATATCGGCCTTTCACCTAATGAAGTTAAATAACCATCGCAGCAACTCAGCTCACCTAATGAAGCCGATTAGTTCTTTTGCAGTTTTGTACATATTACAACTGGGTTCGAGCCCCAGCATTGACTCCACTATATTTTTTCTATTCCCTTCAACACTTAAAGAGTGCCCCGCACTTCCCTATTTGTAACCGTGGACTATTATAATATAAAACTCTATTCACACAAAGACGCCAGCACCTTAAAACTGCTTAACACAAAAACGACTTGTAATTCCAATCTCTTACGGGAGAGGAAACAATCAAATAAACTTATAAAATCACATCCCATGGTTTTTTTCATAAAACACAACTCAACTAAAACGTAACTTTAATGCCTATTACTTAACAAAAAGACCAATGCCCAGTAGAGTTTTTTTTTAAAACTGTTTTGAAACCATGCCAGTTGCAAATGGTTGAGGAACAGAACAGTTTTGTATTCGTGTTTCTTTTTTAACCATACTAGTTGTTCACGGTTTCAAAATCGTAAAGGTAAAAACTTTTCTTCACGAAAACTTTATGATTTGTAGATGGACATATTGCGGCGGTTATTCCAGCGTAAGTCAGTAAAGTAAAATTTTTCAAGTGTGTTAGAAACACTTATGTTTGAAAAATGTGATTTCAAATCATTGTTATAAATGTTTATTAAAAAAATATTGTCGTTTCCAAATTAAACTAAATTATTTCTATTTCTTTTTAAGGCAGAACTGTTTGTAGAAGCTGTTCAGTATGCAACAGAAGTTGGGGTAGTAAGTATTAAGCCAGTTAACTTATCCCGATGAGATTAAACATATTTTTTTAACTGTTCTCCTGCGATTTGAGCGGGGTCGAAGTCGAAGAAATTTTTTTCCCTTGTTTCAATACTGATCCCGCTATTTCTACGTGTAGGTTAAAAAAAAAGAAAGAAACAAAAACATAATTTGATGGTTATTTTCGCTGCTGGATGGCACTAGAGCATACCTGCCAACTCTTCCGGACTTTCCCAAAGATTTTATTTTCACATTTAAAGTGGTAGCAATACTCAGGTTTTTCCAATTAACTTTTTGAATTATAATGATAATTATAAATGAGTTTGACCACCACTACATATAAATAATTACAATAAATATATGAAAGCATAATAATCCTTGCGCAAGCGAATTTCAACGGGATCAAAATATAAATATATTTTTGAGTCAGATTGTTTTTCGTTTATTGTTTTACAATAAACGAAAATATTGTTTTACAATATTGTTTTACAATATATTGTTTTACAATATTGTTTTACAATAAATGTTGTTGATTGTTTTTCGTTTATTGTTTTTTTCGTTTATTGTTTTACACTCTGAAAATCCATTCTCGGAAAGAGTGAAAGTTGGCAGGTATGCACCAGAGGTCTCATGAATTTTGCTTCCTCTCTTGATAGATATTTGTCCCCTGTGTATTTGTGAGTTTGCTTGCTGTTTGTTTTTCTTTAACACGATTAGCATTATTGAAAGATATAGATTTGCCGAGTGTCAGCGGTGTTACATGTGGGAATAAAAAACGAAAATATCTTGATTATGAAAATAGTGATTCGGATTCGGAGTATTCCACAAATCAGGGCTTTTCTTTTCTTTTTTCTGTTTATTACAAAATTTCTGTAAAATCTTTTGAGACAAAATGCTTACAAATTATATTCACCTGAAAATAAAAATAGCGCATAAATTTTTTCACTCATAATTCCTGCACGCTGAAATAATGGGAGCCATATTATACATTTTTTGAAAACGTAAAACCTATTAAAATTCTTGCATCATTTAAAAACAACTAATGAAGATGGGAATCGTAACATATGTAGATAAAAAATATATAAAAAATATCGCTCCATATTTTCGGCCGGAAAGTATAAAAACTAAGGCGCACGCGGTTTTAATAAAGAATGCGAACGATAAAAACGAAATCAGAAAAAAATTAGTGCACTATTATTTTTATTTTGATAAAAATATTCCTCAAGTGATTCAAATTTAAAACTAAAGTCTATAACGGGAAAAAAACCGTAACATTGAAAAAATAAAAATCGATTTATATTTCTGACACCATATGCATTTAAAACGCAGACATGCCAAAGTGTATTTATTTCAATTAATACATATTACCAACATGAATTAAGCATCATTGTCGTCAATGATAGTATGACGATTTCTTAATGTTCTTCAAGACAAATAAATATTTTTACTCCATTTCCTTTGCTTTCTACTATATTACTTATTTCTTTTATTTCAATATGCATATATTACCTTAATTAAATAAGCATAATTGGCTTAATTAAGCCTAATTAGCGATATATTTTCATGTTTCTCCAAAACGAATTAGTACCACTTTCCCATTAATTTTTGACTTTGAATACATAATTTTTTTTCTATTCCATTACCGTTGGTTTTAAATAAGTAATTTTTTAGAAACACGTTTACCACTAACGATTAACCAATCAGAAAATGTCACTTGGTTTTTCGCTCCTCCTGCTTAAACGATTTGTCGTAGAATGTTCTAATGTTGACAGTGACCTCCCACGTGCTTCAAACTATCTGTATGCCAAATTTCATCGCTTTCTGTCGGATGGTTTAGGAGTCTATAAAGGAGATATATACACACATACATTCATTTTTCTTCGTAGCTTTGATTTATTTAAATATTTTTTTAAATCTTTATGTTTTTAAATCATTTTAGAAATTTCTCATTTTACACAGTTTTCAAGTTACACAGTTTGTAGAATTATTCTTCTTTCCCTAATTATTTAACAGTTTCCAAATCTCCTTCAAAAAGTACCTTTCTTTACACATACTATCAGCCATTTTATTTAGTTTTTATGATTCTCTATTCTAAATGATTCTTAAGAAAATTTTTCTTTATAAATGAAAACAGAAAAATTCTGTTGCTTGTAGCAGTTTTCCAGTTAGAAAAAAGAAAAAAAAATCTATTTTCTTAAGAGTTTTCTTTAAAAAAGANAGAAAACAAGGGGAAAATTACAGAACAATGAAAGAAGGAAAAAAAAATTTAAAATTCCGGAAAATAAAAGATATAATCCTGTCAACAGCTCACACGATTATATCCGCAAAAAGGAGTGCTTTCTAATATTGTAATAATAATATAACCAAAGCAAAATATATCAAAACAAAAGCGTGAGAAGCACTTGAAAATTAAAATTCAAACAAAATAGAACACATTAAGTATTAAATATATCGTGTAAAAATGCAGAACAAAACGAAATCTATAAAGCGAGTAGCGAATTCAAATGAACTTACCTGCACAGAAAACTTTCAAGAATGTTTCAAAATATTTTCATAATAGGATTACCAGATAAAAAATATGAAAACAACAGCACAAATAGAGCTAAAAAATCAGGAGATTTTTTTATGGCTCGTTCTTCCTGCAGTACTGAAGCGCGTTTGATTTGTTAGTTACCAAGGATTGGCCCAAAAATGAATTGTGAGCAAGGTAATAATATTATACTGGATAATTTAAAGAATTTTATAACCAAGAAGGTTGATATTTAATAATACAATTTTTATGATTTTGGAAAATTAACTTTTATTTAAAAAAGAGAGAGGGGAAAACATCATTTGCCCGTTTTGCAGTGATATTTTCCCATGGATTTGTCCGAATTAAATTTGTACATTGTTAAATTAAAAGTTAACAAAGAAGTTATAAGTAAATTAATTAATAACCACATACAATTAACTCAATGATTTTATATAGAATTTAATTACTTTCATTTGGTATTGTTTTTTTTCTTCCTCCAATTTTTAAAGAGTTTGTTTATTTGCGTTTTGGATAGGTACGTACATAATTAATATTTTAGTTCAATTCACTTGATTAAAAATGGTATTTAAGTAGTTGTTTTCATAAGCATTAGAATTCCATGAAATATTAAATTCAACTTATTTATATTAAAATCAAAATCATTTATTTTATCGTATTAATCAACAAAGCAGTTATTTTCTTCTTTTTTAATACCCAAATCCAAAAAATTAAAATTAATATTATCATCATGATTACGGAGCAACATTAATTGCTCGGGATAAATATTATTCAATAAAAGTGTATAATCTTGAAAATTAATGTTAGTTAATCAATAAATCAAATCACAAGCGGAGAAAAATATATTTGTATTATTAGCGTTAAATATATATTTCTCTTAAAAAATTATAATTTTTTAGTCAACGTGTGCTGATTTCACCAAATCTGAAGCATGTGATGGAATAGAAAAAGCAAGTGTAAGTATAAGTATCACTTGATGTTATTATAAATTAATATTTTGTGCGATCTCTAGAAATAGTATTTAGTTATCCAGAAATCACTGAAGAATTAATTAAATTATGGTTCTTAAAGTTTAGTGTAGATAGCTCTACGGTATCAAATATACTATATCAATATTGCTTTACTATATTTAAAAGATATTCAAATAAAATAAAAAAAATTAAATTTTTTTCGAACTATTATTGACTCACTGGCACTAAATACATTGGGAATGGTTTATAAATACTTTATAAACTACAATAGCTACTTCATATAAGTATTGTGACAATAATTATGCTTATAGTTTCCAGAAACAGAATAGTTACTGATTTGTAACGAAAACAATTTTAGATGTAAGGCGTCGATAGCAAGTAACCTTGCCGCAAATGCTTTTTTTTTGTTGCTTTTTTTCTTTTTTGAATAATTTACTAAGGTTGATTGGTTTAACGTTATTCTTACACTGCAAAAATGCTTGAATAATAATTTTATTTTTTTCAAAAGATTGAACATAGACACTCAAGAATTTTTACAGAGAAATATTTTCATAAGCTTTTATTGCAAAAATTGTTTTTCATATTTTCCCCTCTTCCTTTATTTGTTATAATTTTTTTTTAATGATGACGTGTTATGCTTTTGCATCCAATTTCGATAGGAAAAGGCTATTTATACGAACTTCATGCGCGTTAACTATGATAGTTAAATTTAAAATTGTTTTAAGCAAGGATGGTTTATTTGTTAATCATTTATAAACTTTGTTGAGCCATTAGAAATGGATACTTAAATTTCACGAAGCTTTTTTTATTATTGACGAAAACTTTATTTTTTTGGCAGAAAACATTTCGTCAAAATGACAAAGAATAATCGATATTTTTCCTAAACGAAACGAATTTGCCAATAACAAAGAAATATTTGTCATTCACTTTTTTTACTGAAACAAAATTTGAAGTACCAAATGCTTTCCAAATAATCGCTTTATCTTAGATACAATAGAGAGATTGATCCCCCCCCCCATGCCCGAAGCGGGATCTTTCTTGTACGAGGACAATTCATCTTTCTTCAACGCTTTATTATCAATTGTCTTGTCTTCACGCTAGTTTCGTCAATCTAGTGAGCAATCTCCCACAATGCACCGCGAAGAGATTTCGTGTTGAGGAAAGCATTTTCGTCATGTTTTGTCCGTTTCGTCACAAATCACTTGATTTCGCGACAACATGACTCTCAAAATTAACGATTCATTGCTCATGGATTGCTGAATGGTCAAATAATATCTGAAAAAGTATGTTTTTTTTTTTAATCAGAAATGTTACTGCTATATTAAAATCAAACCTTAAATGCTCTCTGGGAATATTTTAGGATGAAGGAGTCTTAATTCTTGTATTTTTAAAATGTCACGTTTGTCTATTTTACCATTTTGAAAAAAAAAGTTCCATTATTTCGAATGATTAATTGTTTTCAATTAATTGCCCTTATTACTAGTAATTACTATATTAATTAATTACAAGAAAAATTAAAATTTATGCTTATAAAATGAATTACAGGTTCGTAATTTGAGTATGTTAGAATCAATGCTACAAAAGAGTGTTAAAATAAGTAATATCGAGTTATGTTGTTGTGATTATTATGAGATATAAAAATGGATTAGCTATGTAGAGACCATACATTTTCGTTATAATATTCACTTTGTCGTGTTGACATATTTATTCAAACAGTATTATAGACTTGTTATTTTCGTCAAAAAATTATTTAAAATACAAAAAATATTTCATATCAAATCTTATTTCAGTTTTTTTTTTTAGTTAATTTTTACATATGTTTTTTTCTTATTATAGAGCTGCGGCACAGAAATATTAAACAGACTTCATGCTGAAGGAAAATGCTGAAGACTCAAATGATTACTCTAATGATTTAAGCATTTGCTAACTAATTATTTTCGAAAAAATAAAATTTAACCGTAACAAGTTCAAGAAGGTAATTCTTCTTTAATTCTTTATGTGTTTCGTTGAAAACAGAATTCCTTTTCTTTCTTTTTTCTTCTTTCTCAAAATTTTTTATTTAGGAACGTTAATAAAAATTGAAATAAGTATGTAAGTACCCCCAACAGTTACATATGAACAAAAAATATTAAAACTGCTTATTTTAATTAATACTTATATCTTTTTTCTGCCACTTAGTTTTATACTTACAGCTTTTAGCCTTTAGGCCGATCCTGAGTTAGTTCTTCTGTATCGGTCTTCAAACCATCTGAAAACACTAGATTCTAAAAAGGAGTAGAAAAAATTATTCATAAATAAGGAATTATCAAAATTAAAAGACGGGTTATCAAAAGGACATGCTATTTTTGAACTTCTTAAATGAAATATATATNGAAATATATACATATCGAAAAAATTTAGAAATTTTAAAGAAGAAAAATCACTATGAATACTTAAAATTTATTAAGTTTCATTACTGCGCAGTTGCTGCAAGTACGTAGAGCTAATAATCTAATATAACAACACAAAAAAGAAAAGAAAAAAAAATCGAAAAAATATTAGAAAGAGAAAAAAATATTGAAAATTTTAAAAAAAGTAATCAAAATTAATTAAAACTAGAATATTTAACAAAAAGACCTAGATGAAAAGGTATAATACAGTTATCAAAACACACGATTTTTTCCGCAAACATAGAGCTTTCAAATATTGTGTTAACAAAGCAAAATATGTTAATATAATAGTTTGAGAGACATTAGAAAGGAAGGAGAAGGAGGTAAATAAGCTTTTACCAAGTGAGAGTATCACGAAAATTCTAGAAAAATTCAAATAAAATTTTCAAAAGAACTCAAAAATTTTTATAGATGAAACAAAAAAGGAACACATAAAAGGCGAAAGGTAGTCAAGTACTCATGAATAATTTAAAAAAATGATTTAAAATATTTTCGTTATTCAATTACCGGATTACAAAGTAGGAGATTAAAGTGTTAGTAGAGACTACTGGGAGACAATATTATGACGCGCTTATAAAGATATGTCTGTTACCTTATATTGAACTGCAATCTGGATTTGTGCAAGATAATGATACAGTAGTGTGAATAATTCAAATTTAATAATTAATAAAAGGTGAAATAATTTTAAATAGGTGGTTAAACATTTAATTGAATATTGAAAGAGTTCGCACGCATGTTCTGATACACAGCCGAAGCGTTTTTCCCCTGCGTCAGTAAAAAAAATGTCCATGTCAAACGCCAATGTTCCAGAAATGGAACATTGTTAAAAATGTAAAAACGCACTTGAAAATTTATATTACAATTTTCTTTTTAATTATGTCGTCTTACGATGATTTTCAGTATTGAATCTGTCAAATTTTAAGAAATTCGGTTTACCCGTTTCTAATGGAAACGCACAGTTTTGATTCGGCAAATTCTTTCAATTCTATTGATTCGAAAAAAAAAATGTATTTAAATAAATGTTTTTAGAAATTTTCATGCAATCAGTTCTTATTAAACTTAACATCATTCTTTTTTTTTTGTATAAGTAAACAATGTAGATAGTTTCTTCTTTTTGAATACTTAAGTCCAAAAAAATTAAAAACAATATTATCATGAAGAAAAGAAAGCATTAGTACTTTCTCAGGATAAATATTATTTAACAAAACCATATAATAATGAAAATTTAGGATAGTTCAATTATCAATAAATCTAAAAACAATTTTGATATTTCGTGCATAATATTTTTTTAATAGAGCAAAAATAAGTTAATTAGATTTTACAACCATCGCTGTGCGTCCGACCCAATTTTGGGCTTAAGACTACTATTGTTCAGCCTTGAAATGTTGAATAGCCTTGTAATTTTGAACCCAATCCAGAAGACAAGAGATCTCCTGTATCAATTATGCAGAGAAATTTTACGTTCTTGGTGGACTTTTGATGGAACAAACCCACATTTGATATAAGGGGAGAGAAAAACCACGAAAGCCTCCCACTGTTAGCCCGACGGCAATTGGACTCTTAACCATGATCCGTCTACCATTGAGGACATCCTAAGTCAGCACTGTGGGCGGTGCAAGCCCGGTGCGGAATTAGTATCGCTGGGAAGGCGAACGCTCTATCCCCTGAGCCTACACGGCTAAAGTTAATTGCAACTTTAGATCCCTGCGATATTACATATTTTGAATAAAAAATACTTTCTATTGTAAAGATAATTGCTAAAAAAAAAAATGCTGATCAGGGTGAGTAGCCAGATTTTTTAAAAAAAAATAAGCACTTTCTAAGTACTTTTCAAGCACTCAAAAAATATTTTTAATCACTTTCAAAAAGAAATCATGATTGGAATCCGTGGAGTAATTAAAATTATTTTTTTCTATCGCTTAAGATTCTTAATTTATAAATATTAAAACAATAAAATTTAAAAACATTTTCAAAAACTTTACATAATCATGATAATATAACTAGATTTTTATAAATATTGCAGAGAAAATTATGAAAATCATGTTTTTTTTTGTAATTTAAAATGACAATCGACACGGCAAAGAAAAACATCTATTTTTTAAATTAAGCACTTTTTACATTCCCCATAAAAAACGTAAATCAAAAATTAGCGCCTTTACGCACTTTTTGAAAAAGCACCACACCCTGGTAGATTAATTAAAATTTCCCAGTAAATAATTTTGCGATTAAGGATAATAATAAAAACATTAGTTTGAGAAGTGAAATGCCGTTACAGAGAAATTGGAACTGAAATGTCGATATAGATATAATTAAGTTGTGTTTAATAAAGTATTAAGTAGGATTTTCATTATCCATTATCAAAGAAAAACCTTCTTTAATAATAAATGTTAATACTAAAAAAAACGTAAGGTTTAATTAAGTAAATATTAGTATCACAAGTGATTGTTCGAAACTAAATTTAATTAGTAACGAGATTTTAGACAGATTATTAAGTATGGAAGCCATAAATGATTAATTTTAACTATTAACATGGTATCAAAAAAACTTTTTTTAATCATAATATAATTTACATCGTTAAACTTGAAATTTTTACTATTTATTTACTCCTGATTTCGAAGCTCAATTTATAATTTTTACAGAAGATAGCTTAATTGTAGTTAGCTTAATATAAGAGGGTTATAATAAAATTTTTTAAAACTTTTTTAATACCAAAATAAGTTTAAAAAAATATCGAATTATTACAGTAATTTACAATTCTTTCAGAATTGAGAAGAAAGATTCTTAAGCTCTGATAAATTGTCCATTTCCATTCTGTAAACAGACCTAATCGTAGAGAGAATGTATTGATAATCTTTAGATAAAAATAATTTGAATCATTGAGAACATATTTTAGAATAGATATATAGTCAAGATATCTAAAATTTGTGCTTTTTCACGTTGAATTTCTTATTTCTGAATTTTCAATAATAAATTATCAGTAATACTATTTAGATTATATTCATCAATTAATTCCAAAAATTCCTCTACTTTATAATGGGATAATTTAATTTTTCCTTTTTTTATGCTAATATCAATATAATAAAAAATAGTTCTACTAAGAGTTTATTATATTTATAACTTTTAACTATGTTAATATATTTCAAGGAAACATTTTTTTTTAAAATTCTCAAGCATATTATGAAATATGAGCACATCACGAGTGGGATTCTGAAAAACAATAACAAAATATAAGTTATCTAAATTTTTTTATTTATTTAATAAAAGTTCACTGATATTAGCTGTCACAAGAACGAAACAAAGGATTTTAAACAATAAATTAGAAAAATCAAAAATTGTTAATTGAGCCGGTCTAATTGATAACGAATCGCTCTCTCTCTCTTTTCGTGCTCTTCACACTATTGTATTGATACATCTTGTTATTGGCTATATTAATACAATATTG